GCTTACATATTGGGCATCAAGATCTATAGAGATAGATCAAGACGTCTGATGATACTTTCAAAGAACGCACACCTTGACATGTTTTTGAAGGAGTTCAAAATAGATCAGTCAAGGAAGGGGTTCTTACCTGAGTTGTAAGGTGTGAAGTTGAGTAAGACTCAAAGATTGACCACGGCAGAAGAAAGAGGAAGGACGAAGGTCGTCCCCTATGATCTTGTCATAGGCTCTATACAGTATGCCATGCTGAGTACCACACCTGATGTGTGCCTTGCCACATGTCTGGCAAGAGGGTACAAAGGTGATCTAGGAGTAGATCACCAGATAGCGGTCAAAATTATCCTTAGAGGAATAAGGAAATGTTTCTCGGTTATGGAGGTGATAAAGAGTTCGACGTAAAGAGTTACGTCGATGCAAGCTTAACACCTATCCGGATAGCTCTGAGTAGAGATACCGAATACGTATAATGGAGCAACAATTTGGAATAGCTCCAAGTGGAACGTGGTAGCAGCATCTACGATATAAAGTTTTGCGAAATACATAGGGATCTGAATATGGCAAGACCCGTTGACTACAACCTCTCTCACAAGCATAACATGATCAAACCCAGAACTCTTTGAGTGTTTATCACATAGTGACGTGAACTAGATCATTGAGTCTAGTAGACTATTGGATGTTGGTCACATGGCGATGTGACCTGTGAGTGTTAATCACATGGCGATGTGAACTAGATTATTGACTCTAGTGCAAGTGGGAGACTGTTGGAAATATGCCCTAGAGGCAATAATAAATTGGTTATTATTATATTTCCTTGTTCATGATAATCGTTTATTATCCATGCTAGAATTGTATTGATAGGAAACTCAGATACATGTGTGGATACATAGACAACAACATGTCCCTAGTAAGCCTCTAGTTGACTAGCTCGTTGATCAATAGATGGTTACGGTTTCCTGACCATGGACATTGGATGTCGTTGATAACGGGATCACATCGTTAGGAGAATGATGTGATGGACAAGACCCAATCCTAAGCCTAGCACAAAGATCGTGTAGTTCGTATGCTAAAGCTTTTCTAATGTCAAGTGTCATTTCCTTAGACCATGAGATTGTGCAACTCCCGGATACCGTAGGAGTGCTTTGGGTGTGCCAAACGTCACAACGTAACTGGGTGGCTATAAAGATACACTACAGGTATCTCCGAAAGTGTCTGTTGGGTTGGCACGAATCGAGACTGGGATTGGTCACTCCGTGTAACGGAGAGGTATCTTTGGGCCCACTCGGTAGGACATCATCATAATGTGCACAATGTGACCAAGGAGTTGATCACGGGATGATGTGTTACGGAATGAGTAAAGAGACTTGCCGGTAACGAGATTGAACAAGGTATCGGGATACCGACGATCGAATCTCGGGCAAATATCATACCGCTAGATAAAGGAAATTGTATACGGGATTGATTGAATCCTTGACATCGTGGTTTATCCGATGAGATCGTCGTGGAACATGTGGGAGCCAACATGGGTATCTAGATCCCGCTGTTGGTTATTGACCGGAGAGTTGTCTCGGTCATGTCTGCATGGTTCCCGAACCCGTAGGGTCTACACACTTAAGGTTCGATGACGCTAGGGTTATAGGGACTAGATATTCGTGGTTACCGAATGTTGTTCGGAGTCCCGGATGAGATCCCGGACGTCACGAGGAGTTCCGGAATGGTCCGGAGGTAAAGATTTATATATGGGAAGTCCTGTTTTGGTCGCCGGAAAAGTTTCAGGTTTTATCGGTAATGTACCAGGACCACCGGGAGGGTCCCGGTGGTCCACCAAGTGGGGCCACCAGCCCCGGAGGGCTGCATGGGCCAAGTGTGGGAGGGGACCAGCCCCAGGTGGGCTGGTGCGCCCCCCCACCAGGGCCCAAGGTGAAAAGAGAAGGGAAAAGGGGGAAACCCTAGTCTCAGATGGGCCTAAGGCCCACCTAGTGGTGCGCCCCCCCCCCTCTCTCCCCCCTTGGCCGCCCCCTAGATGGGATCTAGGGCTGGCCGCCACCCCTAGGGGTGGAAACCTAGATGGGGGCGCAGCCCCTCCCTTTCCCCTATATATAGTGGGGGTTTTGGGCTGCTGGAAACACGAGAACATCTCCTTCTTGGCGTAGCCCTACCCCTCTCCCTCCTCGTCTCTTGTGGTGCTTGGCGAAGCCCTGCTGGAGTACCACGCTCCTCCACCACCACCACGCCGTCGTGCTGCTGCTGGATGGAGTCTTCCCCAACCTCTCCTTCTCCCCTTGCTGGATCAAGGCGTAGGAGACGTCACCGGGCTGTACGTGTGTTGAACACGGAGGTGCCGTCCGTTCGGCACTAGGATCATCGGTGATTTGGATCACGACGAGTACGACTCCATCAACCCCGTTCACTTGAACGCTTCCGCTTAGCGATCTATAAGGGTATGTAGATGCACTCTCCTTCCCTTCGTTGCTAGATTACTCCATAGATTGATCTTGGTGATGCGTAGAAAATTTTGAATTTCTGCTACGTTTCCCAACAACCTATGCAAGTTCTTATTACCCTTGGAGGTTGAACGTCTCCTAGATAGTTGGGTCACGTGTAAGCCTTTATTGAGCAAATGAACTAAGAGGTTTGTGAAGATCGGGGAGATCTCCACTTCATGGGATTGGTCATGACTTCGTGTCCTAAGCCAAGAAGGTATAGGTGGGTCTTGGTGATAGAGGTCTTTGTGACCTTAGGACATTTTGTCCGAGCCTCCCCAATGGGGACATATGATTGTGCAAATGACCTGAACCTCGGGATAGATCTAGTGTTCTCGATTCCTTGTTTCTCCTCATTTACCCTTTTTCAGGTTAATTCATTTACTTAGACTTGCATCATAGGATGCTTTAGTGGTGCTAATAATGGGCATCTAAGACCCCTAGTACATCCTAATTCCATGCAATGCCATTAAAATCGTTCTACAACCACACTTATTGTAGAAACATACTCGCCAAGAAAAGATCTGGACATAAAAGGAGAATTTTTTTAAAAGCTTACCATGGAAGAACATAAAATAGCAAAAACACCGTAGGCCACGAAGGTATTTTCGGTTCTCATGATTCCAAGAACATAAAATAGGGAAACATTGAATTGCAATGATTACATCACTAAAGATGTACAAGTTAATATAAAGTTTTAAACATGGTGCAGAAGAATTACATGGGAAAAAAATTCTTATGGATTGCAATCCTATGAGATACGCCTTCTCTTTTACAGACCTTATCTTGTTTCATACAAACTAGAAGGGTTGGGCGTGCTTTGCCGCGCCATTGGTATTGTTGAGATTCTTAAAAAGATTACTTATTTTATTTTAAAATATAAGGTGTATTACTTTTTTCAAACCCAGCCTCTTTAAGTTTGATCAAACTTATGAAGAAATATATCAAAATTCGTAATATCAAATTGGTGTTATTAGAATCATGTAATGAATTTCCATAATTTTTGGCTTAATATTGTGGATGTCGATATTTTGGCTCTAAACTTGGTCAAAATCAAAGAATTTTGACTTTCCAAAGAACTAATACCCTTGTATTTTGAAACTGATAGATTATTTAGTTTGGCAGACGGGGGAGACGATGGAGTGTGTTTTATGTTTATTTATAATGCGGTTATTTGGCGGGCCTTTCATGGTGTGATTTTGTGTTATGTGATAATCAACTCATGCTTTTGTTGGTAAATTTCTACGTCGGTGACTACATGTACTATATTGATGCTATAGTATCATCACATGATGGCGCTTCTTTTTTGTAGGTGGTAAGAGAGTGCACGGGGTTGATATGTTTTTCTAGACGGTTGGTGATGATTGATTTGAAAAATCATTGGCTTGACCAAAATCATAAACCAAATTCAAAATTGAATATCTCAATTGAATAAAAGAGCTTTAAAATTAGGGAATATGGTGAATTAAAATAATTAAATGGGAGAGCTCCTTTGAGAAATTATTGACCTGGTCAAAATCAGGTGACCAACTTTTAAACTGAAGACCTCAATTAATTTTGACGACTTAAAAATTAAAAAGCATAGTGTATAGATAAAAGAATTGAATGAGAGCTTTGAGAAATTATTGACTTGGTCAAAATCGGGTGACCCAATTTCAATTGGACACCTCAATTGATTGTGAGGCATTTTACCCCTAGGGAGCTTAGTGATATAGCAGATGTTTTGAATCAAAGACATCCATTGTTTCTAAAGAGATTGTCTTAACCTTTATTTTCATACACTACAGCTAGCCTTCTCACTCAAGTGACACTTAAAATGATGGTCAATATTACAGGAAAGAATCTTCATGGATTAGCCGCGCTATGCAAAGCTTAAGTCTAGTTTTATCGCCTCAACCGACACGGCGAGACCACATTGTATCGTGGTTCCTCCATCCATCCATGTGCCGTCCACATAAATGAGACCTGTGTAGTTCTGGGCACAATGTACGTACGCTCACGAGGAGAGCGGCGGTGGTGGCATTTCCCTCTGTGGCACACTGACTTGGATTGGATTATTCTGATCGAGCAATTAGTCGTGCAGAGAGAACATGGGAGCACAGAGGCAGAACATTGGCTCATGGCCACGACGGTGCATACGCTAGTTAATGCAAAAAGGAAGAGGAAAAAAGAGGACCATCGTGGCCGACGGCGCATGATCTTCTTAGCCCCTTTGCAGTGGTGGCCACTGGGTCAATCCGACGGTGCCCGACGTGTCCTTCCTTGTCCTTTGCACACAAAAAGCGATCGTTAGTTCCACCAATTATCCGCAACATTTGCCCCGGGTCCCGTTCTATGTTTCTTTTGTAACCGCCGATCCTTGTCATCTCTTATCGTCTCGCCGCCTCGTCCTATAAATGCCATGATCCATGAAGAGAAGCATACAATTACAAACACACACCATCGATCGGAAACCATCGATCAAAAGCCTCTCTTGTGTTGTGTCGAGCACGTAGTGTACCGGCCTCCTCTCTAGATCCATCCATGGCCGCTCGCATCGGCGCTGCTGTCCTCTGCGTGGTGTTGATCGTTAGCCTGGGGCTCATAGCCACGCCGACCGAAGCTCGCGCCGTGGCGGGCGTCGTCTATGCTGCCGCGGTCGCCAATGCGGCCGGCGCCGCGGCCGCTACCAGCGGAGCAGGCGTTCCTCCGGGGAGGTGGAACGCGAGGAGGCTGCAGGGAGACGCCGCTCACAAGCGGGAGGTGCCAGGCGGCCCGGACCCGGAGCACCATCACTAGAGAGCCGGGAGCCATGCATGACGCGCCGACGTACGTAGGTAGGTAGAGCAGATCGATCTTCCACGTACGCACGGTGCCATGCGCGTGGCAGCCTCTATATATCAGGTGTTCCGGATGAGTTTGGAACGGTAAATTATTTGCATTTTGGTCGAAGGAGCTAACTAGCTAGCTGTGTGCTTAGAGGTACGTAGTACCATGGTATTCGTTTGTGCATCCTACGTACTCTACATATGCACGCGAAAATGTGAGTACTACGTACTGTCTACCGTACCACATCACTAGTTCACTACTCCAATCGACATATGATCGAGTTGTAATAAACAAGCGCAAGTTGAAGCGCGCAAATATATATAATACTCCTCCGTCTCAGAATTAGTATCTCACCTTACAACTTTGTTATAGGAGACATTTATTTTAGGACGGAAGAAGTAATACTTATGTAGCTGGATCATGCATGATCTATCAATGAAAATGACATTTTTATGCTCTGGAGTCTGGTTGTCTACGTGGTGTGGGGACATTTTGTACGTACGGAGTGCACATTGTTGTGTCGGGTTCCACTCGAGCGATCATGGTGAACATCTGCCCAGACCCTGTTGTGTTCGACATCCATTATTGCTTGCAGTATATACAGGAGTCGCATGAACGGAAGGATCACGCGGAAGGTTCCTGCTAACTTAACTTCAGTGCAGTTAATTAAGTTGCAGCTTTCCATAACTCCATAGACTAGGACCGGTTGGCCGACCAGACCAGACAATCACTAGTCACGAGTAGCCGTATCAGTGCGCCGTAGTGGACAAACGTCGTATCGAGGTCGCCAAGCCGGCCGGAAAATGCCGGATGCAACGAGCACTGCAGGTGAGGTGTATCGAGATCGAGGCACCTACCACGGGCAAGGCGTCAAGGGAGATGCCTCGGCTGGCCTAGCTAGGGCACTCGACTTTGCACCAGCGGTTCGTCGGCTTGTTGCGTGCGGCGTGCCATCTGTGACCGGCCGTTCCTGGGAGCGTGCACGTACTTCGAGTGACAGCGGATTAGTACGTTGCTCATCACGCTCCGTGTTTGCGGCCATGCCGCGCATCTTCATGATCATCCACTTCTGGCGCCACGGCCGGCTGCCTACCTGGTGCCGGCGCATACATGAACCGTTTTTTCTTTTACCGGTTTTCTTGTTTGTTTTTTATTTTTCACGATTTTTTTCCTATTTTTCGTTTTTCTGTTAATTTTTCTTCTTCCTTTTCCGTTTCTAGTTTATTCAGTTTTTATTTCTTTTCTATTTTTAATTTTTTTTCCTTTTTCAAAAGGTTCATGTTTCAAAATTGTTCAAAATGTGTAAAAAATGTCCGTGCTTTAAGAAAATGTTCAGTTTCTCAGGCAATGGAAGTGGTTTAAAAAGTTGTTCATAAATTCAAAAAATGTTCCCGTTTTAAAAAATTGATCACAAATTTCCAAAAGATGTTCTTATTTTCAAATTCTTATTCAGGTTAAAAAAATTGTTCATGTTTCCAAATTTTGTTCAAAAAAATCAAAATATGGTATGCATTTAAAAAATATTCCCATTTTCAAATTTTATTCACAAATTTAAAAAATGTTCATGTTTTAGAAATTTCTTCGTAAATTTGAAAACAGTTTGCATTTTCTTCACAAATTCAAAGTTGCTCAAATTTTCAAGTTTTGTTTATAAATTCAAAAAATGTTCCAGCTTTCCAAAGTTGTTCACAAATACAATATAGTTCAAGTTTTCAAATTTTGTCCATAAATTCAAAAAATGTTCTGGAATTTTGAAAAAAAATAAACATTTTTATTTTTTTTGTTCACAAATTCAAGAAATGTTCCCTCTTTTCAAATTTGTTCACATCATCAAAATGTCCATGTTTTACAAATTTGTTCTAAAATTCGGAAAATGTTTGTGTTTTGAAGAAAATATTTGTAATTTCGAAAAATTCAGTTGTAGGAGGTCCTCGCTTCGACCCAATACATGGACTGTAGTTTTGGGGATTTTTTGCGAATTAATGTTTAAGTTTTGTCGATGCCGTATGTCTCTTTAAGTGTCGTGCTGCAAATTGAACATGAGAGCATCTAAGTCCCTGCGGCTTGCATGCCGGGCCAATTAGTTCAAAGTCGCGGTATCGAGTCAGCGCTAGCGCATTGTCTTTTTGCGATTTTTCATCTCGGGAACATGCCGCCTCGTGGCACCGTAAATGGGCCGGCCCAGGCTAGCCGCCCCTGTGCGAAGCGTCGGCACTTTGCCGCAACGAGCGCGTATAGGAGCTCCAGGAGCAATTAGTTGACGAGTGCTCTCTCGGAAACCTCGCAACGATCACTTGCGGGTGGGCTGAGAGCGCGTCACTTGGCGCGCTCTCGCCCGATGCCACGTGTCGCGCTTTGGACTCTTTCTTCAGATTTTGTTTCTTTTTATTTTCCAGACGTGTTTTCAGCTTTTTAACCGATTTCCTCCGGGTTTTTTTGACTTTTTGGTTTTTCACCGGTTTTTCTTAGCTTTCGGACAAAAAAATGAAAAAAAATCGCGTGAAAAAATGTGATTTTTTTGCTTCTTTCTTCTTCCGTGAGAGGCACGGTTTTGCTTTCACGAGGGGCACGGCTGTCGGTGTCAAAAGCGGCGGATCTCGGGTAGAGATCCCGAACTGTGCGTCTAGGCGGATGGTAACAGGAGGCAGGGGACACGATGCTTACCCAGGTTCGGGCCCTCTTGATGGAGGTAATACCCTACGTCCTTCTTGATTGTTCTTGATAATATGAGTAGTACAAGAGTTGATCTACCACGAGATCGAAGAGGCTAAACCCTAAAAGCTAGCCTATGGTATGATTGTTGTTGTTGTTGTTGGTCCTACGGACTAAACCCTCCGGTTTATATAGACACCGGAGGGGGCTAGGGTTACACAGAGTTGGTTACAAGGAAGGAAATCTACATATCCGTACTGCCAAGCGTGCCTTCCATGCCAAGGAGAGTCCCATCCGGACACGGGACGAAGTCTTCAATCTTGTATCTTCATAGTCCAACAGTCCGGCCAAAGGATATAGTCCGGCTGTCCGGATACCCCCTAATCCAGGACTCCCTCAGTAGCCCCTGAACCAGGCTTCAATGATGATGAGTCCGGCGCGCGGATTGTCTTCGGCATTGCAAGGCGGGTTCCTCCTCCGAATACTTCATAGAAGATTTTGAACACGAGGATTGTGTCCGGCTCTGCAAAACAAGTTCCACATACCACCGTAGAGAGAATAATATTTCCATAAATCTAATCTGCTGACATACCCCGTAGTGTGACATCACACCACAGCCAGGTCTTTATTCGAAACGTTTTTCATAACCAATCTCAGCGTGTTTCGCGAGGCGGTTTCCTTGGCACGTCTTGTCGAAGCAGAGATCGTGTCCCCTTTATTACGGGATTCTCATGAATACGGACGTGGGTAATCTAACCGTGCCTATTGGTAGGACTCCTAGATCTTAGGCAAGTCCTAAACGGCCATGAGGAGGACGCTTGATATTCACCCTCTTTATAAAGGGGACAAGGCCTTTTCCTCTCGATCTTAATCGAATCTGCCTCCTGCCTCGAGTTCCAACACCCAAAGCTCAGGTTTAGGCACTTCGGACCCTCAACTATGTCTGAATCAACCTTCAAGGTCGGTGGATGCCTTCCTCCATCACGGAGGAGGACATCAAGAAGTTGAGAGAGGCCAGATATCTGACCGCCGAAATTTCGCATCGGTTGCCTGCCCGAGGGCAAGTCGTCCCTACTCCCGAACCCAACGAGAGCGTCGTGTTCGTCTCCCACTTCCTCCGAGGACTAGGCCTCGCTCTGGATCCCTTTGTTAGGGGTCTTATGTTCTATTATGGGCTAGATTTTCACGATCTGGCCCCGGATTCCCTTCTTCACATCTCGACATTTATTGTCGTATGTGAGGCCTTCCTCCGCATTACCCTCACTTCGGCATATGGCTCAAGACCTTCGAGGTGAAGCCGAAGATGATCGAGGGGCAGCACGCAGCGTGCGTAGGCGCTTTAATAAGCAAAATCGCTGATGCTCCATGGCTTGAGGGTTGCTTCCCAGAGGTGTCTGGATTGTGGCAGCAGGAGTGGTTCTACATCACAGCCCCCCGAAGTGCTAAGTGGGTAGCTGCCCCCGCCTTTCACTCAGGCCCCCCACCACAACTGATGTCATGGATCAGCAGGGGGCTGAGCTGGGGTCCAGCCAAGGACGTGCCAATACTGCAAAGCCGTATCCGAGATCTCTTTGAGAGAGATTTCAGTCTGGTTATAGTAGTGCAAGTCATGCTAGTTCGTCAAGTCCAGCCTTGCAAACGTCGGCCCCTTCGCATGTGGGAATTCAACCCGAAAGGACCGCGAGCTATTCAATATTTCCTCGGCATGACGCACGAAGAGATGTACAAATTGTTCTTCGGACCACAAATAATGTGTCCGGACATCACTGAGGATGTAGGTCTGAGCTGCAATCGCCCGGATACCCAAGTAAGTAGCCCCGCATCCGAACACACTGTCCGTTTATTTATCGCAACATTGCCCTAAAAATTCGCTCTTTGACCCAGGATTGGATAGCGAAGGCAAAGTTGATCAGGTGTTCGGCCCCCCTCCCTGAGACCTCACCAAATCCCGTGCTAACCAGGATGCTGGAGATCGCGCCTTATCAAGCGCCCTCAGGAGAAGATAAGGGGTGAACAAGGAGGCTAGCGCCTCCGCGAAGGAGGTTAGCCGGGGAGGAGGAACTGAAACTTCCTCTCCCCAGGGATGGAAGAGAACCGCCTTTGAGGATCCAAAGACAACGGTCTCCAAACAGGGGAAGAAATCTCCGCCAGAGGGTCCTGCCCTGGGGGATACCCTGGCCGTACTATGCCCTCAAGGGGATCAGCCCTCCGCCGAGCTGTAAGTAAAATGGTAAATGAAAATATCTCGCTTAACCTCTGAGGAAAATAACCGAGGCATTTATCTTGCAGTTCGGATCTTAGCCCTTCTCAGCAGAGCT